TCGAATCGTCATGAAGGATGGTGAAGCAAGGAATCCAGATTTACGCCAGAGCAAAGCCGACGAAGCAAAAGACAGGGGTAACTTAGCTTGTACTGATAATAATAATAATGGCCGCCAGTTACATGTTGATTCATTTTAAGCAAGATTCGATAATTTGTTGCCATTATTGTTTGATAAGCCTATTTATACAAAATGAAAAAAAGGAATGAACTGTCCAGATAATTTGTAAGGAAATCTGAAATTATCCAGATTAGAAAATAAAATTTACAACAGGTTAAAAAACGTTGTAGGGGGATTTTTGGCACGGTACTAATTATAAGCTTACCCCCAGCTTTTCATAACGAGATCCCTTTATTATTTTTAAATAAAGAAATAATTCTTGAAAAAGTGTATTGTGCAAGCCATTCGTGAAGGATTATAAATTACCACTTTAACTTTGAAACTATCACAATTTGTGTTTCAAAAAAATTTACGGATTTTACAGAATCGTTTTTCTCTGAATGTTCTTCAATTATTTAGGTCAGTTTATTTGGTTCTTGACTAATTCGGTTTAAACAAAATTCTCTTCGATGCCCCAAACATTTGGTTTTTCTCTGATTTTAATGGATCACTTCCTGTAAACCCACTGAAGTGAAATTTAACCAGCAGACATCACCTGACTTGACGTTTAAGTCTTTGAAATATTAATTCTTTTTTTAAGGAACTAATAGATTGCTTTCTGCTTTTAAGCTTTATGAAATTTTCGAAGATGAGGGTGGAAATTCTTCTATTTCCTTCACTGTTCCTAAAGATCTAGCTGATGGCTATATCAACAACAAGAGAGAAGTTTATAAATTTAGGTTTGTAGTTAATTTATATAAGGAATTGGTAGCTGATCTACCTGTTGAGTAAGTGATATTTAAAACAAACACAAATCCATTTGATACAGTGCTGTGGGAACAAGACTAAAAGGTGCTATATAGTGATATTTTGGGGAGTGTTACATGTATGAGCAAAATACAAAAAATAAAAGCCTAAAGAAAGAAGGCTCAAAATAGGGGTACCCAAAATTGTGTTTGAAGGACTCTCTTGGCTAAAATTACTAGACTCTAGGTGTCATTTTCCAGTTTCTGCAAACAGCTTCATGCAAGTAAATTTATTGCAGCAAATGACTTTGACAAGAGCAACTGACTTAACCCTTTAACTTCTGGATCGATTTTTTAATTGTCCTTGCTGTGAACCATACAATTCTTATAATGTTAGTTCAGAGAATTTAGTATTGGATCAACCAATTATCCACAAATTAATATTTTTCTTTATTCTCATCACTTATCTGGTTGATATTGTATTGATAATGTGAGGAGAAATTCTGTCTTGGTCACTCATGGGAGTTAAAGGGTTAAAAGAAATCATCAGCAAAAACATCCTTTGTCAGTTCAAGTGCATGGGCATTTAAAGGGTTGCTACATGCGAGTACCTTATGGCACTGTTGGATGGCAAAGAGATTTATGTCTGTGAGAAAACCAAGACAGAAAAGGCAATGAGAGGCTTTATAAATGTTAAGTTTGAAGTGAGGTTCCAACTTCATGCCCTTTTATTGCCTTCATTGCCTTTCTGGTTTTTGTTTTTTCACTGGGTACAATTTTTCACAGCCCATGTATTACTTAGACACAAATTTTATGTGTCAAGGGGTTAAGTTT